ACACGTCTGGCATGTACACATCGCTTTCCTTGGCAATATCGACATCGAGACCAGCAAACTTGGCGGCCTGTATGATGTATTTCTCGATGAAGTCAAGGTAGACCAAATCAACCGTCTTCGGTGTCTCGGATGCATTGATGGATTTGAGGGATTGAATACAGTTCGGCACATGGTAAAAGGAGATGGGCGAATGGATGGTGTCATCGCCATCTGTGCCCGCATCATCTTTTGTCGTGTATCCGGGCACAAGGTTCGGACTGGAGATGGGGATTTGCTCACTAGCTTCAGGCCAGTTCTGAGCAATCACGTCTTCCGGATATGCAAGTTGCTCGAGAGGGCCTAAGGTTGTCAACGGAAATTCATCCGCAGATAAAACTTGAGGTTGCTCGTTCAAAACCTCGACAATGAGTTTCGCCTTCTCATATGGGACATCTTTCACATAGCGGAAGGTGCTAGTGAATGGAGATATTATAAAAGTCGAGTCTTGGGTGAAAGGCCCCTTGAAGATATCGAATCTCATAGCGCCCGTATTAACAATGGCTAGGCTAGGCGTGTCCCCACGAGTCTCATCCCTCAAGTCACCCAAAACCTGAGTCTCAAGCCAAGTGTAGATGCTGTTGGGGTTCGGATACTTGGCTCGCGACATATATAAATCACGTGGAGCACATCCATGAACTTGGTCCAGACGAAGGTCGGTCCGTGCTTTGGCGATCAATCGGGAGACATTGAGGCCCTTTTCGGTTGGGAAGGTCTTTTGATCAAGACCAGTGTGGTGATAATAAGAAAAGACATTGTTGTCAATGTACCTGCGCTTGAAGACGGGTCCAGCAGCAGACTGATGACTTGTTTTGCTAGCGAGGCCGTCGATGGACATGAAGCCAACAGTTTCCATGAATCGGCCACTCGCTAGCCCAAAGGCTTTGGAATCATACTGCGCATAGTCACGCACATGCTGGTGCCCGCCAAAGAATTGGATTGGAGTATCCCACCGAATTCCCCGGATCTCCTTGAAGATCGCCCGGTATTCTGGCGAATGAACAGGCACATGGCCGACCACCAAAAACAGATCCACTTCTTTATCCCGAATAGCTTCTTGGAACCAATCCTCTTTGATGGCAGAAGATACTCTCTGAACTACGGTGTTGTTGTAATTTCCGTTGAAATCAAAGAGGAAGCCAAAGGCTATAATACGGATACCTTGTTTCTTGGTAGTGAACTTCTTAAACCGCGGGGCTAAAGGCACGAGCTCTTTGGTGGTCGGATGAATGATATCGATATTTGAAGCCAGATAGTTGCCCCGGAAATTAGGAACGGTGACCAGAAATTCAGCCTCCGATGTGTTTTGCTTGTAAAGTTCGTGGTTTCCCGACGTCAACAAGTCGATGTGCAGGTGCTGCAAGATGTCTGAAAGGTAGATACCCTTGGGCTCGGACGAGTCATAAAGACCGTTCCCTTCGACTCGGTCACCAGTATCTATAACGAGTAGATCTTGTCCTTGTGCTTCAGCCTTTTCCCGCATGTGTGTTGTAAACGATACATAGTCTCCCCAGTCTGCGGAGTAGGACGGTCTATGATTATTAGTACAACTCAAAGCATAGCAGAGTCCAAGGCCTACTCCTGCAGATGACCAGCCAGCCAACCATGAGTATCGGTCGTGTGGAGGAAATTCAGTTGCCCGAAATCCAGATCTCGCAGCGGAGCGGAGATGGGATCGGGCGCGGAGGGCTGAGCGGCGAGTGCCGACGGAAGTAGCCAGAGCAAAGACAACATCAGTACCAACAATACACCCTTGGAAGAGTGGATAAAAGCATCAATTTACGGCCACCAGTACTTTTGGAAGGATTTGAAAGGAACCTGGAAGAGAGCACGTAGTTATAAAGCTAAAAGTAGATACCTCACAAAAGATGTGTTGTGTAAGCAAGGTCAATTGCCCTCAAGGTGCACATGAGCTCTCCAAGTCTTGTTTGGTTACGGTTACAGTACCGGTGAGCTCTGATATCACGTGATGCCCAACATCTTCGGATTTGCATCTCGAAGATTATTCGGACGGCGATGAGTTTTCCCTGGGCATTCACTTGGATCTACTTTCCCGTTCTTCTATTCAATTGCTTTTGCGGTCCGATTTGGTCTGCGATCTTTAATTGAATTTTCCCCCCAATCTGTTTGTTACTATCATCTCATATTTCCGCAATGGCAGCTCCCCGACTTTTCCGCCCAACAGCTCGTCTGTTTTCCTCGCGCCTTGCTTCCACTGCTCTGCGCTCGAATCTCCGCCAGTCCGCCTGTGCTCCTTCAATTCTGCGCCGCGGATATGCCACTGAGGATGGCACCAAGCAGGTCACCGTTCGTGATGCCTTGAACGAGGCCTTGGCAGAGGAGTTGGAACACAACCAGAAGACTTTCGTCCTCGGTGAAGAAGTCGCACAGTACAACGGAGCGTGAGTAGTACATTGGTTCCAGTTGAATCGAGAGCGACGCTGACCATCTGCCTGTACAGATACAAGGTGACGAGGGGTCTGCTCGACCGCTTCGGTCCCAAGCGGGTTATCGATACCCCCATCACAGAGGCCGGCTTCTGTGGTATCGCCGTTGGTGCTGCCCTCGCTGGTCTGCACCCCATTGTGAGTATTTTGGGAAATGACCGTTGAATCTGGGATCGCATGCTAATCATGATCCAGTGCGAGTTCATGACCTTCAACTTCGCCATGCAGGCCATCGATCAGATTATCAACTCCGCCGCTAAGACTCACTACATGTCCGGTGGTATCCAACCTTGCAACATCACTTTCCGCGGTCCCAACGGTTTCGCCGCCGGTGTCGGTGCCCAGCACTCCCAGGATTACTCCGCCTGGTACGGCAGCATTCCTGGTTTGAAGGTTGTCTCCCCTTGGAGCTCCGAGGATGCCAAGGGTCTTCTGAAAGCTGCTATCCGTGACCCCAACCCCGTTGTGGTTCTCGAGAACGAGTAAGATCTTCCCACTCATTTTGCTGGATTTCGTGTGAACTAAGCAACCCTAGGCTCCTGTACGGCCAGTCTTTCCCTATGAGCGAGGCTGCCCAGAAGAACGATTTCGTCCTGCCCCTTGGTAAGGCCAAGATTGAGCGCCCTGGAAAGGACCTTACCATTGTCTCCGTGTCTCGCTGCGTCGGTCAGTCCTTGAACGCCGCCGCCGAGCTCAAGCAGAAGTACGGCGTTGACGCCGAGGTTATCAACCTGCGCTCCATCAAGCCCCTCGATGTTGAGACCATCGTTGCCTCCCTCAAGAAGACTGGGCGCATCATGGTCGTTGAGTCTGGCTACCCCATGTTCGGTCTTTCGTCCGAGATCCTGGCTCTGTCCATGGAGTACGGCTTCGATTACCTGACCGCCCCTGCTGTCCGTGTCACCGGTGCTGAGGTTCCTACTCCTTACGCCGCTGGCCTTGAGGCCATGGCCTTCCCCCAGGAGGACACCATTGTCAGCCAGGCCGCCAAGCTTCTGCGCCTGTAAGCCAATAAAAGAGGGCGAGGAAGGAACTCGCCATAATATAGCCATGTGCCTAGTACCCTTTCATCTCTACCATCTTATGTCGTTGTTTTATTCTGCTTTTGTTATCCAACCGTCTTAGACAGTCTTTTGGAAAGCATGTACCATTACACCTAGATCAGGACCAACGTAAATGTGCTCAAGCGGCTTAGATGGATATTCATTGCTACCTAGTAATTTTTTTTTAAAAAATAAGGACATTCCGTATCCTTCAACGCCATTGGACATTTGAAATTTGATTCTCAATTCCAAGTCATGTCCGATATCACGATTTCCATCAGACTTTTTGGGCAACACACCCAACGAAGCAGTCCGTTGGTCGGCGAGGATCGTAATATCCTTCTTGGCCATATTCCTCGTCGGTTTCACTTTCCAAATCACCACATTCACTCTTCTGGGGTCTGCCCACCTTTGATGGATTGTCGCCTTTAGTTTTCGGGTTATCGTCTTCCTCATCGTCTCCTAGAACGTTCTTCTTGACTGGGGCTGTGGGGGCCACCGTTCCCTTGACAGCGGCAAATGAGCTTTTGAAACCTCCCTTCTTAAAGCCCGTGCTTCCTCCACTTGGTGCCACCTTTTCCACAGGAGTCTCGATGACTTTCAGACCGGCCTGCGCATCGGCTTTACGTTCTGCCCGGCGGTTCTTCTCAACGGCATTTGGATCACGTGTTAACTGTTTGAGATCCTGCAAGCGCTTTCTGTGCTGGTGATCGTATGAGCCGATATGTGCTTCGTATTCTGGGTGGCGCGAGTAGGATTTATTGCACAGGCCGCAGGTGAAGGAGCTGAGCGCAGACCGCGCAGACTCGGTCTACAAGGGTTAGCTTAGCAGTGGAAGATGTGGTAGATCTAGAAGATTTAGTACCCTAGGAGCCGGATTCGTGAAACCACGCTATTCTTGTTAGCCGAGGCATTAGATTTTGACAAAATAAGTAGAGCATACCGGTGCCATTGTTCTCAAGCGAGAGTTTCAGTGAAGTTCGGAGAGAGAGTGTGCAGTACGGCCGGGCATTGCGACCATCTGCGTATTTTACATCTACCGGGGCTTACGCGCGTTGCTGCCTGTGAAATGAGGCTGCGATAGATTCATTGCATCCTCATTCAATGCCTATGCGTTCATACTCATATGCTCTTGTGTATCAGTAAGGAGCTATATGGGTCCTATCTTATTTGAGAAAGATTTACACCTATACGCAATATAGTAGATCAAGCAAGTTAATCTACCATAATAACTTACGATGTATACATGGTCACCTGACCATGGATTTTGGGCAATCGTCATTACCCGTCAAGGAAGTAACCTATCAGAACTGCCGTATTTTCGCGACTCGGCGATCGTCAAACCTCAACACTTCCCTGCCTTCTCCCAAGTTCGCCTAAGATGGATGCATGATTGACGAGTTAATTGATTACGACTTTATTTATTACGCTTTTCCCCCAGCTCCTGATAACCAAAACCTCCGAAAATCATATAATGCCGTCTCACGTGCTCTTAAAACCGGAGGATATCGACACCAACTCTATCATCTCTCTGCAAGAATTAGACCCATCACCTGTTCAGGATGCTCTGGATGTCGAAAGCAGTGAATACTTCCCAAGTTCTGCCTCTCCTACACAACATGGAGCTGGGATTTCAATCCCCAAACTTGGCCTAAGTGGGCTTCGTTGGGATTCATGGTGTACGTCAAGCGACAAATTTTAGTCTATGTAGTCTAACCATTATGATCATTCAGTAGCAGGCATTCAAAAATACTCAACCTACCCACCTACGGCTTTCTTCATCCTACACCTCGCCAACACCTCTCTTATCCCACTCATGACTCGCTCTGTGCCCGCCAGCGAATCCTACCTTTTGCTCACTCGACCTACATATCAGGCCCCCGGGCTTGAGCACCTTGTCTTGACAGTTCCTTTAATTGCGCACATTGCCTCAGGGATTGCTCTCAGGAACATTCGTGCAACGCGCAGAGCACGTCTATACGGCGCCGAGACTCGCGCACAGCGAAACATGTTATATTTCTGGCCGCGGATGTCTTTACAGGCACGTACTGGATACTTTGTCGCGCCACTGATTGGATTCCACGTATGGGTCAACCGTGCCACGCCACTACTCGTCGAAGGAGGAAGCTCTGGCGTGGGGCTTGGGTATATTGCTCATGGCTTTGCTCGAAGTCCTGTGTTCTGGAATGCATTCTATTTCTTCTTTGTGACTGCCAGTGTGTGGCACTTCGTTGGTGGCTGGGCGACCTGGATGGGATGGAGAGTGACCACGGCGCGCAAGGAGCGTAGCCAAAAAGGCTTGTTGGATGGTTACCTTGCCCTTACAGAAACGAAATCGAAGAGACAGCGCAAGATTTGGTGGGTTGTCAATGGAGTCGCCACCGCTGGCGCAGCTCTCTGGCTTGCAGGTGCTCTTGGTATTGTTGGACGTGCCGGCGAAGGCGCGGGCTGGGAGGCCAAGGGGTGGAATAAGATGTATAGTCATGTCCCCATCATCGGGAAGTGGCTGTGACAGCTTTGTATGATTGTACATATTACCTACATAGACTTGAACCCAGCATTGTATTAAAAGAGCCTGAAGACATCATGGATACTGTTCTTCTTGCTATACAAACATCGAAACCTGTCCTCTGGTATCACCGCAATAATTGTCTGACCTGCTAGATAAAATTGCGGTTGCTTGTCCTCTCACTATGAGAATTGGATCTGATCTTGCCCTACACACTTCTTGAAGGAATTATACAATTATAGGTGACATAAATTACAAAACAGGTATTGTGGTATTGCAAGCTGGTCCGTGCACAGAATCTTTTTCTCCGCCGCAAGAGCCGTTGAATGCGACATGCTGTGAAAGGCTTCGCTCATGAGCCCCTCGTTGGTATTTGGATCAGCAACGAAATGCGCTAAGCGAATGCTTTTCCCCCCTTCAATTCTCGCCCTATCTCCCCGTTTAACAACCCCTTCGATCCGATCTCGTATCCGAATCCTTTCCACGTCTACAGCCATGGAGGCTCCTCAGGTCCAGCTGGTAGAATACCAGGGAAACAAATACCATGTTGTCAAGGAGGGTCTGGCGAAGATTCTCAACCCGCCTGCACAAGAGGCCGCCTCCAAGGGAACGAAGAAGGATCTTAAAGGCGACGACCAAATGCAATCCGTCTTCTACAACCCAATTCAACAATTTAATCGCGACCTCAGTGTGCTAGCCATTCGCGCCCATGGAGAACACATAATCGACCTGAAGAAGCAAAAAGCGGCCCAGAAGCAGAAGAAGCAGGCAGGCAACCGAGAAAAGAAACGGAAGCGTGAAGACGACCAGGCCGAGAATTCCAGGCCCGCCCCGAAAATAGAACATAAGGAAAACACAGAGACGAACGATCAGGAAGTCTCCGCTCCAGCTGTTGACCAAGAACCTCAATCAGAAGCCCGACCAGAGCAACCCGCAGGTTCCTTCACTGTCCTTGATGCTCTCTCTGCGACTGGACTGCGCGCTCTTCGCTATGCCTCGGAGCTTCCATTTGTCACAAAGGTCGTGGCTAATGACCTGTCAAAGTCAGCAATCGAGTCTATGAAGAAAAACATCGACTACAACAACCTTAAAACGATTCAACCCAATCTGGCCGATGCTCGAGTTTACATGTATGGGCTTGACCCTGCGAGCAAGTTCGATGTCATTGATTTGGATCCATATGGCACAGCATCTCCGTTCCTGGATGCCGCAGTGCAAGCAGCCAAAGACGGTGGCCTTTTGTGTGTTACTTGCACCGATGCCGGTGTCTGGGCCTCCACCGGCTACTCGGAAAAAGCATTTTCTCTGTACGGTGGTATCCCCGTCAAAGGCCTCCACTCCCACGAAGGTGGCCTGCGATTGATCTTGAACGCCATTGCCATGTCTGCAGCTAAATATGGAATGGCTATCGAGCCATTATTGTCTCTGTCCATTGACTTTTACGCTCGGGTCTTTGTTCGGGTCTATCAATCTCCTGCACAGGTCAAATTTACCGCGGGAAACACAATGCTTGTTTACAATTGCGATGTTGGCTGTGGTGCATGGTCAACACAGGCCATCGGGTCTACCAGATCCAAATTGGACCGCAAGGGAAACCCCATATACCACCACGGCCTGGCTAAGGGGCCCACGGCCGGACCGTACTGCGAGCATTGCGGCACAAGAACACATCTTGCAGGACCCATGTGGGGTGGTCCGCTACACAATCCTGACTTTATCCAGAAAATCTTGGACATGCTTCCAGGAGCTGATCCTGAAACGTATCAAACTTGTGCTCGGATTGAGGGAATGTTGACCACTGCCCTTGAAGAGGACCTGGACCTTACACCATCCAACTCCGAGTCATCCTCTCCCGAAAAGCCTGCGCCAGGCACAAAGAACCAGCATGATCCTGCATACCCTGCCATCATTCCTCGAATGGACGTTGCTGCTCGGGAAAAATACCCTTTCTTCTTCTCACTCAGTGCTCTCTCAAAGGTTCTCCACGCAACCACTATTCCAATCGACAATTTCCGCGGAGCTCTCAGCCATCTCGGATATCGCTCCACTCGCAGCCACACCAAACCAAACTCAATTCGCACTGATGCGCCCTGGGAGGTTATTTGGGAGATCATGCGCGAGTGGGTCCGTCAGAAATCACCCATCAAGGAGACATCCTTGAAGCCCGGAACCGCCGGTGCTGCGATCATGGCCAAGGGCCGTGAGAACCTGCGCAAATTGAGCGATGAAGATCAATGGCTATCTCTTCTCAAAAAGGACCTGCTGTCTGCCATTGAGGCTGGCAGGGATGTCAGTGACTTGGTCACCAAGGTTGAAGCCGCTCTCTACCGGTCCGGATCGCGAGCCACCTGGCAACGTGCTCCTACTTCTGCAGAGATTCGTCCCGATGCCGACCCCCAGCCTGTACCGGAAGTGGTAAAGGAACCTGCAAAGCCCTCCATGCGAGCTCACCCTAGTACCCTTGAGGTGGTGTTTGATGAGGCTCTTGGCCGTCAGGTGTCTGCGGCGCATACCAAGAAACGACTAGTGCGATACCAGCTCAACCCTCGTGCTAACTGGGGTCCTCTCAATCGTGCGGGGCGATCATGATGTTCAAATAGATACTTCCGTATATCGAAAAGTCCTCTTGACGGTTAATGCTTCTCTATCAAATCCCCAACTACCTATTGTATATTGTAGAGTGACAAGCCCGACATGTTTACTCCGTGTTATTATTTCCCATTCCCGGTAGTACCATTGTAGGTGTAAATAACCATGAGTCACCTACATTGTGATTCTTAAAGGTGGAATGGGCTTGCCCAATATTTTTCTTGTTGGGGTCACCAAGTGCTTAGTCACAAGTCGATCAGGCGTGCAGATAACATCTATAGTTCTAATGTGGTCTATGCGTTTCGTCAAGTCTTGAACCCCCTGGGCAGATACTACTAAGAATGGCGGTTGGCGGTTGTTTTTGCGGCAAGGTTCGAGTCGAATACAAGGGCCAGCCTCTAGCATCGGTTAGTACTATTCATTGGATGCTTTTTTTTTTTTTTTTTGGCGAAGTTGACCTAATCCTTTCCCCCTTAAGGGACTATGCCACTGTTACGATTGTCGCAAGCTTACAGGGGCACCCTATAGCTACAGTTTTATTGTCAAAAACAAAGATCTGGAGATCTCCGGAAGTCCGAAAGAAGTGGCAAAAAGATCAGAGGGTGAAACTAGGATTAAAAACTATTTCTGTCCTGATTGTGGTCTGTATTTAGACTACATTTTGTGATGACAGCATCTGACGGAAATGATAGGCACACCGCTGTTTGGACGGAAGATCAAGGCCAATGGAGATCCCGACGAGATTACGATCATCCGGGCAGGAATCTTTGATGATAGCCGAATCTTGAATGAACGGACACCTGTGGCGGAGATGTACATTGAGCAACGATTAAAGTGGATCAGTCCTATCGAGGGGGCTGATCAATTTTGTGGCATGTTGCCACTACCCTAGCAGTTGGGTGTTAAACAATTAGGTTGTATACAATTTGCTTGTGGTGTCATCTTTGTCTAAAAGACAGGCACTGTTTATTCTAGGACGCGCAAGAATGTGGGGTATAGCTGATATCGAAAACTGTATTAAAATGGAAACTGAAACTCATATACATGCACATAAAAACTCCAAGGCTTTGAGACATCTCACATAATGACCCATGAAAACGAGGAAAATGGTCTATCAAAAAACATAACATTATAAAGAGGATATCGGCAGGACTAGATCATTTCGAAACATTTTCGTTGCCCTCTTCGTACTTCTCCCAGTTTGCCAAGATAGAGGCAATGCGGGGAGAGTTGGTGAGCCTGTAGACATCCTCGAAGTATTCCTTGGTGATCTCAAAGGGACGGGCAGTGACATTGGGGATGTACTTGCCAATCAACTTGCTGGGATCGATGGTGGTCTTGTTGATCTTCTTCAACAAGAAAGAACGGAAGGGCTTCACACCAGAGCGCAAGAAGGTACTGTGGAAGGGCACGTCGATACCCTTGAGAGGAATGGTGGCGAAACCACGCTCCAGGGCGATGGGACGCGGCTTGGCCTCGGTTTGCTTGACACATTCTTGGATGATGCTGACTAGGTGCTCCTTGACGTCCTCCAAAGACATGCTCTCCATAAGAGCGGGAATGTCAATGTTCTGCGCCTTCAAGAAGTTCAGCAGGTTGGTGAGGCAGTCAAGAGCACGGAGATCACCAGCGGCAACGTATTGCATGTTGGCAACATTGTAGTTGACAATCTCCAGCAGCCAGCCAGTGTTCTCGGAAATGCTCTCAACAACGTACTGCAGTGCCTGCTCGTTGAAAGTCTTGGAAATACGGCTGGGGTTGACAGCGCACATGGAGTAGTTGGAGCGACCCTGTGCATCACGCTCGACGGCGACCTGCATGGTCAGACCACGGTAGAACACGACAGATACCAAGCTCTCAATTGGCATGACATCAGCCAGAGCGGCCAAAGCCGAGTATTCACCAAGTGAGTGGCCAGCGAAGCTGCTGTCGCGCTGCACTAAGCCCTTAGTACGCATGTCCTCGAAGCTGGCCTTCTCCATCAGAGTCAAGGCTGGCTGAGTGAACTGGGTGGCAGAGAGAAGACCAGTGGGAGACCGGTAGGTGTACGAAGCGGTATTCTCGTCGACCTCCTTGAAGATCTTCTCAGACTTGATAGACCCGTCGGCGTTCACCGACTCGAAGGTCATGGCCATGTAGTTCTCCCGGATTGCCTTACCCCGAGGACCACCGAAGTAGACCGTCAGCTCCTTAGGGTTGTTCTTGACGATGTCAATAATGGAAAGACCGTAATTCTCCATGAAGTGGCGATCAGCTCGATCCCAGACTTCCTGGGCCACTGGGCTAGAACCATACAGCTCCATACCCATACCCTGTTCCTGAGAGCCTTGGCCAGTGAAGACGTAGGAAGTGACTGGCTGCTCTACCTCGGCCTCACCCTGCAGAACCTTCTCCTCTGTCTCCTTGTTGCTGGCTTCAACCTTGATGATCTTGCGACCAGCAATCATGCCGACATGCTGGAGCTTGACAGTGATCATGTCGTTGGGCAGAACCATGCCCACCAACGAGACTTGGAAACCACGAACACGGCCAATGTTGTTCTCGGCAGCCCAGGTCTCGACAAGGCTGCGGACCGCGGCACTGCTGTACATTCCATGGGTGATGGTTCCAGGCAAGTTGGCATAGCTTGAGAAGACGCGCGACACGTGAATGGGATTGTAGTCACCAGACACGCGGGCATAGGTCTCGTTGGAGGCAGGGGCACGCAGTTCCAGAGCCGTCTTGCCACTGAGCGGGATGGGGTTTTCAAAGTAGACCGGTTGCTCAATGGAAGTTCCGTTACGCTGAAGGTAGTCAACCACGGGGTTACCGTGAGAGTCGCCTGCCTCGTATTCGACAGACGCAACTTGAATGACCTCCTTGGTGGGAAGCTCGAGGAGGACTTGTCCAACGGTCTGGACGTTGCTGAACATAGTGGCGTTCTTGAAACGGATCAAGCTCTGCAGGCGGAATGTCAGGGTCTGGCCCAGAAGCTCGATGTCAGAGTCATCCATGCGGAACCATTCCTTCGAGCGGAGGATGGCGACGTCCCGGCTGGTTGCAAGGTGGACCTGCATGGGGACCTCATCCTTGCGCTGGAAGGTGTTTTCATAGTCGGTGTAGGCACCCCGGTACAAGAATTGACTGGTGACATGCATGATGGCTTTGTTATCCCGCTTGATGGTGCCGCAGACCTCGACCATCTTACCGGACTCCTGGTTGATGACAGAATTAATCTGGGCCGTAGTGTCCAGAACATCGCCAACCTTGAGGGGCTGGGCGCCGGGCACCATCTGGAATCCATTGGACAGGTGGACAAGCTTCAGCAAATCTCCGTCAATGGTGCGAGGGAAGATAGGCTTGGTGATTGCCTGCCAGCCTGCCACGATGGCAAAGTCCATAGGGGCAAAGACTTCTTTGCCAGGACGGTCAACGAATGCCTCACCGGTGTTGCCAACTGCATGGACGAAGTCAGCAACATCCTGGGACGTGATGGTCTTCTGGCCACCACTGAAGGTGGCAGTGGTGGGGGTGTCGAAGGGCACGTCCTTGGTGCCGAACCAGATCCGGTAGTAGAACTCCTTGATGCGATCGTTGCGGTCACCCATAACCTCACGAAGAGGAGCGTATCCAGTCTCAGGGTGATACGTGAACAAAAAGGTCAGAGGTACAACGCCATTCTCGGCGGTGCGGCCTTCGAACAGGCTCAGACTAACCTGTCCCTTCTCGTTGATCTTGGCTTCGACGGTCTTGATCAACTTGCCAGACTGGTACGGCTCTCGCACGCTGATAACAGTCTTGGCAGGATCATTGGGATTGGTTACTTCCACATGCATGCCTGCGGTGGGAGCAACAATGCGCTTCATAGGGTTAGACTGGAAGCGGTGACCCTGAACGAAAACATCGGCCAAGAACAGAGCATGCCTCCATGAGTAGACGTTGCCGGCAAGAAGACTAAGCCAGCGGTCCAAGTCTGGCAAGGCTGCAGTGGAAGACAAGCGGAAGCTAGTCTTGGTGGGCTCTTCTGAGATAATCAAACCGTCGAACTCCGATTGAGTGGTGTTCATAAGCTGCCCGCCGAAGTACTCAATGACTGGAATTTTGGTGCTGTCACCACCGTAGACATCACGCAGGAGGCCAGCGATGTGTCCCTGATGAACACCATCAAGAATGTCCTTGACAGGCTCATCAATGATGTTGGAGAAGCGGGCAGCCATAGGACCCTGAAGAATACAGGTACGGCCGACATCTTGATCGACAATAGCCTCAAGATCCTCACTCTGCCACAGAGAATCCTTCTTGAAGAAGAACTCAAAGTTCTCATCCAGAACGGGAACGAAAGGCACGGGCTTCTGGCCGCGTTTCTGGCAGAGCAGCAGGAAGTGTTGCACATCCTGTGCGTTGATCAGTTGATCAGCAGCTTCGGGATAAGCAGACAAAATGTTGTCAACGGTAGGGTATGGGGTATCAATGTCGGAATAGCTTTGGAGCAGTGATGCCTGGCCCTCGGCAGCAGTGAACCGCTCCTCAACACGACGGATGAAGTCACCCGTCAAGCGCTTGAGCGAAGGATCGATCCATCGCGACTCGTGCTTGATGTACATAAGGTCCACCATACGGTGAACGACCTCAGCATAAGTCATATCTTCCAGATCCACGGTTTCGCCTGCGGCGTTACGACCGAACCAGACCTTGTGGAAGTCATCGTTCAACTTCTTGATGATGTAGTTCCGCTGCTTCTTCAGCTCAGGGACACGCTTGGCCTTATCCAGCTTAAAGATCTTCTGATCCATTTCCTGCCAGAACAGCACGCCGCGAGTAGCCAGCTTGTGGATGGGCTCGCCCATCTCAGACAGAACAGTGATCACACCACCGGTTGATTTCTGGTAGGTCTTCTCCCATTCCGAATCGTCCACACCAGGGGCATCGGCAATTGCTTTCTTGGCATTGTAAGAGGTGTGTGCCTCCTTCGCGATCATCATGCGAGACCCGAAGAGACAACCGTCGAAAGGCATAGGAGGGTAGCCAAACTTGGCAGACCACTTACCCGAGAGGTAAGGGTAAGTGTCTTCGGAACCACCGAAGCCACTGCCGGCAACAAGCACAATGTTATCCTGCTTGCGAATGCGGCTGTACATCTGGAGAATGGGCTGGTGGAAGTCCTCAAAGGAGTGGTGACCACCGCCACGGCCACCAGTCCACTGAAGGATGATGGGGAACTTGGGGTTGGCCTTGGCAACGTTGATGACTTGCTGGATGGCATCAACGGAGCCAGGCTTGAAGGCAATGTGTTTAATACCAAGAGTTTCGATGTATTCATTGGCAACTTCAATGGATGGCACACCAGCACCGATAGTCAGACCCTCAATCGGCACGCCTTCCGCGCGCAACCGACCGATCAACGGAATCTGCCAGGCCATGGCACGGGGGTTGACATAGATCAGGTTAATAGTGATACCACGACCAGGAGGGATAGACTTCTCAATCTTGGTAATGGCCTCCGTCATCGTCTTCGCGTTGTAGTAGCCACCACCAGCCAGCTCGATGTGATAACCGGCGTTCATAGTAGCAGCCACAAAGTCCCAGGCAACGGTGGTGGGTGTCATACCAGCCACCATGACAGGAGGAATTCCCAACAGACGACTCATCTTGGTGTCCACGTAGGTTTGACCAGTGGATGTCTGTGTTAGGCGGGGGCCGTGTTCCTTGACCCAGTCCACAGCAAACTTGACGGAATGCTCATCACGGTCGAAGAGCTCCGGCTTGTAGCCGACCTCCGCATTGGTTCCGTCCATTTCACCGGCGAGAATGACCCGAACACCGGTACCGTCCTTGTTTCTGTTGGTCAGAACGCCCAGACCGGAGATGCCGCCGGGGCCGAAGTCAACGATGTGAGTTGCACGGGGGAAGACA